CCCGCCAGGCGCGCACACCCCCCCCCCCCCAGACGGGATTTGCCAGAAGCCGCCCAGCTAGAGCCAAGGGGGAGTTTCAGCCCCTCTAGGGCCCCGCGGCCCCTCTGAGCTGGGCCTGGGTTCCCTGAGCCCCTTGCCTGTGGGTCTCACCTCAGCCCCAAGCCACGTGATCCCAGACCCGCTTGCCTCCACTCCTGCCTCGGCACTGGCTGGGCCCCTCCCGCCCCCGCAGCAGCGGGCAGGGTTCTGCGGCGCCCCTCCCGCGCACACACTTAGCTCACTGAGCCCATCTGCCCCGAGGTGTTGGCGGCAGATGCCGCGAGGCACAGCGGTGCCCAGCGCCTGTGGCAGACCAGAGTGCTGCCAGCCGGTGGCAGGGCTCCTTGAAACACTCGGCTGGGACCAGGGTTCCCCACCGGAGGGCACAGGGCGGGTGACCAGGCCCCCACCAGGGCTGGCACGAAGGCGCCGAGGGGCTGCAGCCCCCTCCCCACCCGCAGTCCCACACCCTGTCCCCCGCTCCTGTTCAAGCTGCCTGGGAGGGAGTCGAGAGTGGGCCAGCCCCTGGCAGGCTACATCTTAGGGGCTCGGGCTCTACAGCACCCCACCTCCTGGGGAAGGCTCAAAGGTAGGGGCACTGCTTCTTCCAAGAGCGAGGCTGGTGGCCCCCACATAGCCCATGGGGTGCCACTGGACAGCTGCACGTGGCATTTGTGCACCAGGGTGGATCCTCGACTGGGGCTTCAGGGGCAGGCTTGTCCTGCTCAGCCCAGTCCACTCTTCAGGGTCCCTCCTTCACTCTCAAATAAGGGTGGATGGTTGAGCAGCTCCTGCGAGGCGGTGGCCTCGGCTCTGCACCTGTCAGCCAGCCATCTCCAGGCTGCAGTGGCCAGTTGATGAAGAGGCTGGTTTCCATGGCAGCAGCCTTTAGCCCTGGTCAGAAAGGCAGGGTCTGGGGAGGACCCTCCTCACCCCAACTTTGGCTCTGCAGCCCCTGGCTCCCAGTGAACACTGCAGGGTGAGCCCAGTATGGGGCTAGGTCTCAGAGGTCACACGTCCTGAGGAGCTACTGCCCCCACCCACTGACCCCCCAACAAGGACAGGAGACGTAGGCTGAGCCTGGAGCCCCAGGGCCCCACAGGACACTGGGTAGGGCATCTGATTCCGGAAAGAGCCCAAGCATTGGAGGGTCTCTCTTTGCCCTCCTGCCCAGTTTCCTGCCCAGAGCGAGGAGGGAGGGGAAAGGTCTTTGTGACAGCAACCATCAGGTGCTCCCTGCATGGGTGGACAGCCAGCCTGGCTCCTTAGGACCCTGCCAGCCAAGACCTCCGCAGCTTCTGGAAACCAAAAACAGACCATGAGCCCTGCAGCCTCCTCTCTCCCAGTTCCCCTGTCCCTCCTCCCAGCGCCCCCGCGGTGAGCGTGCACACACACGCACACGCGCACACGCCCCCGAGCCGCCTCTGCTCCCCTCGCATCCTGCATTTGTTTTGCTCCAGCGGGGCTCGGATGGGGACACGCTGCACTCTTGCAATTGGCAGCTCCCTCTGAGCCCCCCACCGAGGTGCCATATGTCAGTGTCATGAATAGGCACGCGCTCGCTCCACGGCCTGGGGGGCTGGGAGGCAGCAGCTGCCGGTCCCC